CGATGCGGGACTCGATCCCGGGACTCCAGGATCATGACCTGAGCCGAAGGCAGTCGCTTAACCAACTGAGCCACCCAGGCGCCCTAAGACTCAAATCTTAAAGCCGTTACAGCTCTGCCTTTCAGGTAGGAGGTTATCTGTGGCAAAATAGTACCTAGGAAACTCACTGAAATAACGGTTTAGTTTATAAGTCAGCTTCAACATTTAAAAAAAAATTGTGGTAACATTTACCATCTTAACTATTTTTAAGTGTAGAGTTCAGTACTGTTAAGTATGTTGACATTGTACAACTGATCTCTACATCAAGATATGTTTTAACCCTTAAGGTTCCTCTAAAGACATTTGATACATTGCTGTGATCAGAAGACAAAACTAAGTTAGTTACTCAGCATTTGTTGTAAAAATATCAAACACTTTCCCTGAAGCGTTTATGAGATTCTCAGCCATACAAGGCGATGATGGGAAGAGTATAGCTTGGAAAACCTTAGTAATCCTTAAGAAAGTATAATCCGGTACATGATATGGTAAGTAGATTTTTTCAAAACTTACCACCAGTATTCCTACCTTTATTCAAATTATAAGTCATCATACCTGCTTTTTGTAGGAAATACCTAAACCATAGGAAAATATAGAACAATTCCCCAGTCTTACCTTTTAAAACAACTTGTTTGAGTAGACTGCCTAGGCTTTCCTGTCAGATTATTATTTTTCTTTCTTTTATTATGATTATTCCTTCCTATTATTATTTTTCTTCCTTTTGAAAAAATCTCAGAGTGTTTTTTAGAATTTAATCTTTCTCAGAAAACTTTGTCTTAATTTTTAATTAAAAAGTCTCTTTTTCTGGGGCGCCTGGCTGGCTTATTTGGTAGAGCACATGACTCTCGATCTCAGGGTCATGAGTTCAAGTCCCATGTTGGACGTAGGGCTTACTTAAAAGTAAGTAAATAAAATAAAAATCAGGAAAGGTTTTTTTTTTTTAAGTCTCCTTTTCTGCTAGCACCTCTAACTGTTTTTAAAAGTTATTTTATATTTTAACTGTAAGCAAATGAGGAGAGATTGGATTATATCATTGAATTCGGCCACTTTTTCTTTTTAGTACTAAAACCAGAAACCTCAACAGCTATAACCAGAAACCTCCTCATGTGTCATACTGGCAGAAGGGACATTTCTGGTTAAAATCTGGGAAGCCAATGCTTTCTTCTGAAGTTACAGCTAAATAGTGACCAAGTCGGATGAAAGGGTTGCACAGTCGCTTCCATTTTGAAAATGGCTTTTAGTTGTGAAGTAGAGAAAGTGTATTGGAGCAAGGAGATCAGCCTGCCTCTCTTTCCCATGATTGCCTCAAGATGCACTTTGTTTTTTTTTTTAAAGATTTTATTTATTTATT